AGCTCGTCATAGTGACATTACCGATTCAGCCAATTTAAAATGCCCTTATGTTTAGTGATTACAGCTTTCAACAATCCATAACCACCTTATTTTCTGTCAGATTTAATTTGCAATTTTTTAAAAGTATAGTTGTCTGTTAAGGTTGGATTTCCCTTTAAAAAGTGTAAAGGGTAAGCCCTATGTAACATAATGTGATTAGGCCATTTTCGTTATAAATCAAATCAAAGTGCCGCGGAACAAATTATCTCTTTCACCTATTAAGAATAATTGTATTTCAATAGTCAGAATGCGATATGCAAACATTATGTGTTGTTAGGTAGGGCAAGACATAATGTTTGTCCTACCTATAGTACTAGCAACACGTAATGTATTCAATTTGTATTCTGACCATTTAAATACATTTATTCGTAACAGGTGAATTTAATAATTGGTAATGAGGCACTTAACAAGGACCTACCGTATTCATTAAATTTGATTACAATATGAAAATGACCTACGTACAGTACATGTATTCATATGGATAGGAAATCTTTGAACTGTTATATGTCGTTTTCTGAGGGTTCATAATTTTATAAATTCTAAAGGGTTCATAATTCTACAAATGAAGTAGGATTCCTAATTCTGAAAATGAACTAGGATTTGTAATTCCAAAAATGAAATATGGTTCATAATTCAGAAAATTAAATAGGGCTCAATATACTTCCAAAAGTTTATTATTCTGAAAATGCAAATAGAACCCTTTATCCTTTTTGGAATTACGAACCGTCAATATAATGAATCCTATTTCATATTCAAAATAATACCATTTCATTTGCCGAATTATGAACCCTATTTCAATATCGTTATTAACGCCCCTTTTTCAATTCCAGAATTATGCACCATTTATATTTTTCGTAATTATGAAATCTATTTCATTTTTAGATTCAAACCCTTCTTAAATATGGACCATATTTCATTTGTTTATCGATTTGTCATAATTTGTCATAATACACTGTACTATCAAGTTACATTTATTGATGAACAGCATATCACAGCACTTGTCAAAATAGTAAGACCGTAAATGAATTTGTTTTGCTTGTGAATGTAGTAGGCTTATATTATGTAGTACACAATATTACATTTCCAATTGCTGCAACTTCATATCAATCTTTTACATGTACTATGACAATCTACAGGTCAAAATCATGCTTTGCGTAATCATTTGTGAATTATTCTCTATTTAATATACATGAATGAAGTACTTAAATTTGCGCCAACGAACTTATCCTCCATGGTGGAAAATTACAAACGAAATTTCTCAGCAAAAAACTATTTCTAATTGTTTCTACCTGTACTCATGATGGCTACCGTAAGATAACTATTGCAAATTGCCAAACCTACTCTTTTAAACATCTACTCCAAATTTTCAAGATTGATTTCTCTTTGTTAAAACTGACCATAATTTCTAGACAATAATTAGCCAATTTAACATTGTTTTTTTTTCATATTTCTTCTTTTGTTGTTGAAATGTGTAAAAAAATCCTTTTTCATTTAAAGCCCAAGTCCACTCCAAAAATAACTTACTTTCAATAAAACCAGAAAAATCAGACAAACCCAATCAAAAAAGTTTGAGCAAAATCGCATAACTAATAAGAAAGTTTTGAATTTTTAATGACATGAAAAACTTTGAAAATCACTACACAAATTGGCAACTCACTCAGGAGTCTGTGACGTATGGTCCTCACTATCCACTAATTATTTTCTTTATAAATAAATTTCCTATTTTCACCCTAAGAATCTTATTTCTTCACACCAGCATCCAAGTTAGATTGTTAGTAATATTTTTATGTGTGGATGCACAAATAAAGAGTAATTTATGTCCAGTTAAATCATGAAAAATTGAATTTTGATAAGCTATTTATATAAAAATCAATATTTATGAAAAACAGTATTCAGAAAATAGTATCAATTCTTCAAAATTCATAAAAGTTTTGGGGAAATGTCATGCACGCAATATGATACAAATCATATAACCTGGGCAATGGCATGGGGAAATCAAGTTTTGGGGTATAAAAAGGGAAATTAATAGGATTAAACTATATAAAGCAATTGATAAGTTGTGAGGACATGACGTCACAAACTGACAACCATCTTGGCAAATTGTGTCGTGATTCTCACTGTTCCATAGTTTTACATACTTTTTCAAAAAATCATAACTTTCTTATTGGATATCCGATTTTGCTCAAACTTTGTGTGATTGGTTTGTCTGATTTTTCTGCTTTTATTGAAAGTAAGTTATTTTTCGAGTGGACTTGTCCTTTAAGCTGTTAACCTTGCTTTTAAACGTTCATGTCATTGTAATCACTATATGATGTATGAAATTCTGACAGATAATTAAAGGATACACTGTTAAGTGTTAAATATGATAAAGATGAACCAACATGAATGTGATGTCTTTTGTTAACAGACGTTTGCGAGAGAAATGGCTGAACCTCGAGAAAATAGTTAATTGTGTTGGAAGCAAACTTCATGCCAGCTCCTGTCATTTTCGTGTCTACTTTGCAGACCAGCATGCCCTTTTAAAGTACAAAAAAACAAACAAGGGCTGGCAGATTTTGTGAGGAGTACTGTGTTGGAAGTGCATTGATGTAGTAGAATTTAAACTGATCAAAAAATGTCAACCATGTAATGTAACCAATGCTGTGGTTCAATTGAGGATTCCTACTTGTGTTATACTGGTCTCCTACTGGTTCCATTGGGGATTCATACTTGTTTTCTACTGGTCTCCTAATTGTTCCAGTTGGGATTCCTACTGGTCTCCTAATGGTTCCATAAGGGTTTTTCCACTGGTCTTCTACTGGTATCCTAATGGTTTCTGTATGGATTCCTACTGGTCTTCTAATGGTTCCAGTTGGGATTCCTACTGGTCTCCTAACGGTTCCATTAGGGTTTTCTACTGGTCTTCTACTGGTATCCTAATGGTTTCTGTATGGATTCCTACTGGTCTCCTAATGGTTCCAGTTGGGATTCCTACTGGTCTCCTAATGGTTCCATTGGGGTTTTCTACTGGTTTTCTACTGGTATCCTAATGGTTTCTGTATGGATACCTACTGGTCTCCTAATGGTTCCAGTTGGGATTCCTACTGGTCTCCTAATGGTTCCATTGGGGTTTTCTACTGGTTTTCTACTGGTATCCTAATGATTTTTGTATGGATTCCTACTGGTCTCCTAATGGTTCCAGTTGGGATTCCTACTGGCCTCCTAATGGTTCCATTGGGGTTTTCTACTGGTATCCTAATGGTTTCTGTATGGATTCCTGCTGGTCTCCTAATGGTTCCATGACTTCTTTTTTACTTGTCTAATGGTTCCAGCACTTCTTTTCTACTGGTCTTCTAATGGTTTTTATATCGATTTCTACTGGTCCCCTACTGGTTCCAGTGGGGATTTGTACTTGTTTCCTACTGGTCTCCTAATGGTTCCAGTTGGGATTCCTACTGGTCTCCTAATGGTGCCATTAGGTTTTGCTAATGGTCTTCTACTGGTCTTCTGCTGGTTCCAGTACGATTTTTTTCTACTGGTTTCTAATGGAAAAAGCGCCACTTTCCATATTGAAACCAGTAGAGAATTGACCACTAGAAACCGTTAGAAATCTGTACTGGTTTTCTCTACTGGTTTCTATGGGATTTTCGACCTGGGACTGGACCAGTTAGAATTTAACCAGTTGAATTCCAACTGGACCAGTTAGAATTTGACCAGTTGAATTCCAACTGGACCAGTTAGAATTTGACCAGTTGAATTCCAACTGGACCAGTTAGAATTTGACCAGTTGAATTCCAACTGGACCAGTTAAAAATCTGACCAGTTGAATTCCAACTGGACCAGTTGGAATTTGACCACTTGAATTCCAACTGGACCAGTTGGAATTCAACTGGTCAAATTCTAACTGGTCCGTGTGCATATTTCCAGTTGACACCAGCTAATTTGCATAATGGATATGGGGTGCGTGCATATCTATGTTTCAATACAATTTATCTGAATTTACAGCATATTCCTTAATTACTGCTGATTTAGTTATGTGCAATTCATTTCGAAAGTACTACAAATACAAATTGCCAATTATTAGGACATTTCATTACTTTGTGTAAATAACATTTAAATAAACATGAATTAGGGAAAACATTAACTATGAACTAAAATAGATTCAATAAAATACAATTATATTCAAAATGTTTAGTTAACAAGTCTACCTATTACCAATGCCTTTACATTGGAAATTGTAGACGATCTAGTCTATACTGGATAATTGTAGACGATCTATACTGGATAGTTGCCAATTGGCAAAATTAATTAGTACAAGTGCTACTTATGCCTTTAATTACTAATTAAGTTTTCAATTGGTAGTTGATTTAATAAGACCAGTTAAATCCAACTGGTAACCCTGGAAATTGAAATGGGCCAGTTGAATTCTAACTGGTCTGAATGGTCCAGTTATAGACCAGTTAAATCCAACTGGTAACCCTGGAAATTGAAATGGGCCAGTTTAATTCTAACTGGACCAGTTAGAATCTGACCAGTAAATCCAACTGGACCAGTTAGAATCTGACCACTTGAATTCTAACTGGTCCAGTTGGATTTCAACTGGTCTGGTTCAACTGGCCCATTTCAATTTCCAGGGTTACCAGTTGGCTTTAACTGGTTTAACTGGACCAGTTGCAACTGGTTTTTCTGGGACCCCCCCCCCCCTCCCCTTGAGCACCAGGGGAGGGGACCCATCCCCCAAAAAAGGATTCGCCACTGCGTCACAGGTCCAAAGTATTATGAGCACACTTGTGAACTAGCATAGAGTCTAGTGACGTAGTGCGGCAAAATTGCCTTACAGAAGGTAGACCGAATTTTCCGTCTCTTTCGTTCGTTAGCCTAGCCTCTTAGTCTTATTGAGACGGAAAATTCGGTCTAGTATACAGAAGGTTGACTAATAATGTTAGTTATTATAAGAAAGATATCCCCATAGACCTACTTACCACTTTTACCAGATGGTTATTTTCTATGGCTATATCGTGGTTTTGGATGCCATTCGTTCGTCCCCATCCACAGCTCTTGTGTGTAGCGTCTAATAGACTAGATGCATATATTTTGGGGTGGTGGGAAGAATTACAGAAGGCCCGGACCGAACACGAAGCCAATGAAGCGCTACTGTACTGTATACGGAGCGAACGGTGGTTTCCAATCCGGTTTCACGAAAGAGTCATTCCTGTCTACATACAGGATGGATTCCTCGATCGTCAATGTTGAGAAAATGGCTTTTAAAAAAACCCATGACTGCGACATTGGGATTGTTCACACCAAAAGACGTTTAAATATATTATTACTAGAGGTCTAGACGGATTAAGCTGCACGCGCGAAAACCATTTTACACAAAGGATTTACACCCCTGCCACGCTTATAATCACGTCATGGGGAATCCCCTAAAATTTTATTTATGCCAATAAGTTGTGGCATGTGTAGAAGTGAGTTGAAAGCTGAATGTTGTTTTGATCGAGTATCTGCGCATTGTCGTCGTTGCCGTTGGTCACAATCGAAATCATTATTTTCAAATCTGACTGCCAGTTTTTATGTTCACATATTCCTAGTTATTATAGACCTATTCTTCATTATAAGAGTACCGAAGCTGTGACATCATAAAAATCTGTTTTTATAATTTCTCAATTTTTCTTCATTTTCCAAAAGAGCATCAAAAATAATGCCCCAATGTCAAAAACCAATCGAATATGTTATAGGTATTGGCTGAGATATGATCATCTGAATAAATGTTATGTTAAAGTAATGTAATGAACCAGAGCAATATAACATTGAGTTCCTATATCATTTTTTTATTATTCAGATGGTCATATCTCCAGGCACGTATAGCCAGAGTTTGATGTTTTTTTTTTTTTTTTTTTTTTTTTTTTTGGGGGGGGGGGGGGCACATACATGTAATCGATCAAGGTAAAAAAAAAAAGGGGGGCCTAAAAAGTTCAACCGATCTTAGAGAAAAAAAATGGGGGGGGGGGGCACGTGCCTGCATATCAAAGCCAATATATACTCAACAAATTCAATTGGTTTTCGGCATTCGGACGTTTTTATTTATTTATTTTTTTTTTTTTATGCTCTTTCGCAAAATGAAGAGAAAAAATTGAGACTCCAAAAATAGATATTTTGGTGACGTCACACTTCACCACTCTATATTGTTGAAAAGCAAATTGACTTAAAACCGCCGGGGGGGGGGGGGGGGGGGGTAAGAGCACATTTTGGGTTTTTTTTGGGGGGGGGGTCCAGTTTTTAAGGAATCTTTTTTTGCGCCGACTCAACTAGCCGGCCAGTGAATAAGCCGAGGGGGGGGGGGGTGCTGGAGAGGAGGAGCACTATTTTTTTTTTTTTTTTTTTTTTTTTTTTTGGAGGGTGCTAGGGGGGCGGGCCGTTAGAATCGGCCCGTGGATCCGCGCCTGGGGGGGGGGGGATGTCGCTGTAGGCCTAATGGGATACTTTTTTTGCAAAAAATCCCTAAACACGGGGTATGATTTTGTGCTGTAAAATCCCTAAAAGTACCCCCACTTTTCAGATCTCTGCCTTAAACATGGGTTACTATTTTTTCAGGATAATATCTCACCTATAATCTCTAAAGAAAAAATTTCCAGATACAAAATCCCGCAAAAATAATTGAAATCATTTCGCTTTTTCATTCAAAGTCTTCGCCGATGGTCGGACAGATTAATTAATAACATTAATTCGAGCTCCGCCGCCTCCGCACGGCTTCTGAGTAATGTGTATCCCACCCCAAATTAAGGGATATTACAATGAATTAAAGTATGTGAAAGTGCAAATCAGTCATGGAAATCCCTATAATAACGGGTACCATTTTCTGCCAAAAAGCCCCTTAACCCTAATGAGGCCGGGACATTACCCCCCCCCCCTCCCCCCCACCCCCCCCCCCCCCCCCCCCCCCCCCCCCCCCCCCCCCCCTCCGCGAATGTTCTGATTGTCCGCATACGGATGACGCCCCGCCGCTTCATGACTTTTTTTCTTTCCAGTCTTGCGCATCTTTTAATTAAACCAAAATTTTTGGGAAATCAGACATATAAAATCAGACAAATAAAAAATAAAAAGAAGAAAGGTAGGAGAGATCAATTGCGATCTAATTCCCACTAACAAGGTGTAGATCAGGGGGGGGGGGGCTTGGGGGCATTTGCCTTCCCCCAATCAAATTAAAATGTGGTTTATTACTAATTCGATACCGGTGATTTACAAATGATGCTGAAATAACATAATTTTCCGCGACTTCTCCTCGCTTCTTAGTAAATTATACTTTTTATTCGGTGGTTGGAAAATAACTAATTCCTAAATTTACAGTCAGGCAAGAAATATGCTTATTTAGCGGCCTACATGTCAGGGCCCGCGAAGCAGGGGAGCTCGGGGGCCTCGAGTTCCCACCCCCTATACACTTTTTTGAAAAAGTATATTACAGAGAAATAGAAAGAAAGAAAGAATAGCGGCCTGCCAGTGTCACAAAATGATGAGGTATCAAAATGTATAATCTGACTGTAATTTAACGCCTAAATCCCCTGAGCTTCTCGGGAGACTCGGCCCTGGACCCCACGCCAATGGGTGTCCCGTCAGTGTCACAAATAAGGTATAAAAAAATGCTCATCTGCCCGTTATCAAATGCCTAAAACCCCTGAGCTTCGGGGGTTCTGCCCCCTGGACTGAACCAAGGGCCCCAAGGCGGGCCCCTGGATGCTCTACCTGCTCGCGCCTGTCCCTATACCCCCAACCCTATGTTTTAATAGAATATATCATATTATTAAATATATCATTGTAGGCTGTATCCATAATTTTTTTTCCTTCAATTTGGGTGGATGTCGCAAAAGGAAGGCTTCCCAATACACGTATGGAGAATAAATCATATATTGTAAAACAAAAATCAAGAAAAACTTTACCAACTTTATGAGTAACCGTGTGCATTTTGTTGTTACTGTATATTTTCTTCTACGATATAATGTAATTTTAGGCCTTTTAGCGCACCAATTTTAAAAGATAAACATGGTTATTTTAATGATTCATTTTTTCACCTGAATTAAAACTATTAACAAAGTTCAAAATTGTTTTGTTTTGTTTTTGTATCGTTTTTATCAATATTAATTTTTTTTTTAAATCAATTAGTCTAGAAAGTAATCGTTAAGCGTTTCATAGTTGTTCCACCAATGGCATTTCATACTCTTTAACAAAAAAAGATGAGCGACAAGAGAAGAAAGGAAGAACGCCAAAAATTGAGAATAATGCAGCAACCACCAGCGCCTAACCTGGACCATCAGATAATAACTACAAATCATGATCTCAGTCAACTTGTGCCGTCTTTTCTAGGACCATCCATTCCTCAACAGGCACCAGCAACTCGAGGAAATCCGGCTCAAAATGTCGCCGCAAGTACGGTGCTGGTTAGCGCGTACAACATGTCTCCGATGATGAGCGCCGCCGGAACTCCTCGCATGAGTTTTGCTGGGAATATGGTGCCACCGAATACTTCTGCAGCTGGTGGCATTCGACTGCCCCTCATGTCTCCGGTAGGAATGCACGGGTTGCCGCCTGGACCTCGAACGCCTGATGGACAGCCTCTGGTAAAATTGAAAAGAAATAGATGTGTAAATGTTGTTGTTTGTTTTAAGGTAGCGCGCCCAGTATTCGGTCAGACAGCCATTTCAACAGCTGTAACAATTTAAAAAAATAATAAATGAGCCGCGAAACTTGCACAAATCAGACAGCTATTGAGCTAAACAACTTTTCTTCACTCTCAAAATTAAATCAGATATAGGGCCCCGGAAAGATCTCCAACTTAGCTCGAAATTGGTCAGTGTCGTACTACTTTCCGCACTTTCGCGTTCTCTTAGCACATGCGCTAACATGCATAGCCATATGTAGAAGTCTATTGCGAAACAACTTTGTGTGCTGTCGCAATGAATTTAGTATGTGTGTGAAGAGGAGCTCTTCCGTGTTCGCTCCATCGCAGCGAATTTGCAAATGACGCACTTGCCGATGTGCAAGAGGTATTTATACGATACCCTTGCCATGCGGTATCGCTCGTCCAGTATTCGGTCAACGCATTGACAATCAGTGCTTTATCGCGCAATTGTGTGAAAATAGCGTGCAAATACGCTTCGCTCCTTGGCAACGGAGATTCAACGCACAAATCGTGTGACCGAATTCTAATCGGCGCGACCGAATTCTGGGCAGAAAAATGCTCCGTCTTCTTTCGGAAATATTTTTATCATCATTCTTTATTTTAAGTGACTATAAAATCCTGTTAGAGGAATATTTTTTCGTTCTTTTGATGGGTAGATTGCAAAATAAAAGAGGTAAGAATTCAAAATATCAGTGATTTCCCCTTAAGTGACCGAATACTGGGCACTCTACCCTAGTGAAATTGATTCCCTTTAGGTCCTAGGATTAGGAACAAAATATAGGATTCATTGAATCTCCTTAAAAATAAGACCATTAAAAAAGCATGAAAAATGCATCTAAAATAATACCAAGATCACCACCCTAGGTCAACAAATAGCGAAATAATAATAGATCTAGTTTAATGTTTTAAAAAACACCCATTTTTGGTCCCTTTAAATATTTAGTTAATCTTTGGTTGCTCGTAGCTCTGGTTCTGATCATCGCACACACAAATTGATCAGGAATTAATCAGTTTGCTTCTCTGATTTTTCTGCTTTCTTTAGTTGTCTAGATGTATTTGGGTTGGATTTCCTTTAAAGGGATCGTTTAACAATGTTAAATCTGAGTCTGAGATACACGGCCCTACTTGTTATCAGTTTCTGTGATATGGTGTAATATTGAAGCCTAAAAAATTGCGCTTCAAAATATCAAGAAGTGCCTCAAAAAAGTAAAAATCTTTAAGTGAACGGTTTTACCATACTCGTTTTCCCCAATAGACTTTAGTGTTATGAAAACCGTCAGGCGAACGGTTTTCAAAATTTGTAATTTCAATCATAAATATCTTGATAATCAGACAGGTGATCGGCTTGTAAATGTCATGGGGTTCCTGACTGACCTAAAGGTTTATAATTATCATTGCATCATGAGCTAAATCCAGAATTTTATTTCAGAATCTGAGACAAAGTTACCATATCCCTTTAAGGAGAGAGAAATGGGCTGTGTACCTCTACAGATACTGAATAGGAGCTCCTCTATAGATATTAATAGACTTTTAAAACACTTTTGTATCTGCCTCCCAGATGATATTGACCTTGTATTTGACCTTCAAATTGTGTCCTGACTGTTGACCTTGTATTTGACTTTCACCTCCTTTCTTCTAGCTCTCGCCTATGGGTGCCTTCCCTGGGTATCCATACCAGCCTGTGATGCCGCCCCTGGAGTCCCCCACCAGTCTCCTTCAGGCCAGGCTCCAGCACTCCCCAGGATTCCCCTTCCCACAACATGGAGCCATGCACCCACAGGTCTTCTTTTCAGGGTAAGATCAGAGTTGTAGCTTTGGGAACTACGCTTGTACAAGGCCTACAGGCTTTATTTATGTAGTTCCGCATTTCATTTTCTCAATATGTTTATTAATTATTTTGTATCTTTCGTATCAATGTAATTTTTAACCGAGAATGAAATAAATGAGAATTGAATGAATGAATTGAATTGAATGAATGATGATGTTACTTGGTACTTGGTTGGGTAATCCTTTGGGCAGCTCACTCAGGAAACTATACTGGGATGGTAGGTGAGGCGAGTGACTACAAGGATTGACATGAAGTGCTGGAATGGTGTGTGGACAAAGCTCTTGTTAATGATGGTTGATGATGATGTTGCTGTTTGTGGTTGTGGTAGCGGGGGGTAGTGATAATGATGATGAGTACGATAATGAGATTAATGAGGAGGGATGGCATTTGTACATGTAGCAGGAGCAGGAGACAGAGATGGAGGAGGAGGAAGCAGGATGATGGAGGGATATTCTTTGCTGTAAGAAAATAAATGACTCTTATTTGAAAGCCACACGGTGTTCATGTGTGTTGCATCGTCAGAGCTGCCAACCATTCCGTTTTTGCCGGAATTACTCTGTGTTTTTTTCTCCGAATTACGGTAATACATTTTTTCTTCATAAAATACGTTTTTTAATAATTTTTTTTTTTTTTTTTTTTTTTTAACATACCGCACGTCAAACAACTGCCCTGAAATGGTGATTTGATCACAAATTCAATAGAAAACTAATTTTAAACATACTTGAAGAGAAAAATATTCTCAACAAAAATGAAATGCTGATAACCTCCCAAAAAATTACCTGGTTGTATGGAAAAAACAGCATGATGAATGAACATTTCTGCATTGGAAGTGTGTTGCGCGTGTTTGTAAGTTTCGTTTTCATGAATTCCTTTTTTTGGCTTGAAATTCCTTTTTTTTTGCCATCATGATTCCTTTTTTGGGTCGCACAAGGTTGGCAGCTCTGCATCGTAATAGACAGGTTTACTTACACATTCAACTTTTATGCATACTCTAAATTTAAGCAAAAGTTGGTCTTGGCCACCCAAAATCTCCATCTTTTTCTTTAGGAATAGATTTAAAGATTCCGAAGATTGGCCATCATTCTGTCAAGCGCTGACAGAATACATTTGGAAATTCCCAATTCCCCAAATGATAAGAGTTTTAGGTGTTCTAGTCTGGCGAATTATACTCATCTTTCTATCCTCATTTCCATTGCAGTTACGATGATCAAGGGGGCCAGAGGGCACCCCCTATTGACAAGATGTCTTGGCTCGATGCTGCTGAGGTAAGATGCCCAGAAAGAATCTTTAAACTTTTTGAAACTCTAACATTAGAGTTTGAGGGACAGATGAAATCAAAAAGCTGATATAAAGATATCCCTTCTTGGATTGGAGGCTGTTTGCTCACATGATGTTTACACGGAAAAGAAATATTGCATTTGTTTTGTTTTGTAGTGACTATCATTCAAATTACAAGTATGTCAAGGACTTGAAAATACAGGGATTACAAAACAAAAATATCTACCAGTAATGAGGAGTATTTGTAGTAATAGTGGTATTTTACAATTGTGAAATACCGGTACCCTTTGGAATGTATCATTCAATTATGAAATATATACCCTTTTAGAAGATGGTGATGGTGGTGGTTATTTTACCTGACTGCTAAGAAAGCATAAATGCTTGTAAGTAAGCAACCAGACGGCCGACGGCTTTAGGTCCTCTCAGAGGGACCTGGTAATAAGGATTAATGCCTTACCAAAGGGCACTAGCGTATCGGCTTGGTTTCGAAACCGGCTTCACCGGATTACGAGACCAATGCTCTACCAACTGAGCTATCGCACCTTCCTATTGAATGCAATGACACATGTTTCTTTGAAATGAAAGATATCCAATTATTTTTGTTCACCCCAGATTATTTTAGAGGAAGCCCAGCAGCCTCTGCATCTCAAGGACATCAAGCAGAGGATCGTGGAACAGGGTCTGGTCGGTCCTAACGCAAGGTCCAGTCTGGAAACGCTCATGCACAGAGATGCGCAGAAAGGCAGCAAGCGGTTTGTGAAATTGGACGAGCTCATTGGCGTGTTTAGACTCATGGTAAGCTCTAAATTTGAGATCATTGTGGAATGTACGTTTTCTCTGTTGATGTTAAGTGTGTGGCTTCGAGGTTCCAATTTTATAGGGCTTGGTTAATTCTAGAAACGCTCATGCACAGAGACGCGCAGAAAAGCAGCAAGCGGTTTATGATACTGGTCGAGCTCATTGCCGTGTTCAGACTCATGATAAGTTATAAATTCAAGGGATTTTTATGGAATGGAGGTTTCTTTGTTGAGTTGTGAGGTTATAGATTCCAGTCTTAACAACGCTTGGTCGGTCCTAACGCTGGGTCCAGTCTAGAAACACTCATGTACAAAAATGGGCAGAAAGGCAGCAAGCGCTTTGTGATGAGTTCCTTGGCTTGTTCGACTCATGATAAGTTCTAAATTTTAGGTCATTGTGGAATGTAGGTTTTCTCTGTTGATGTTCAGTTGTGAGGTTATAGATTCCAGTCTTAACAAGGCTTGCTTGGTTCTAACGCTTGGTCCAGTCTGGAAACGCTTATACACAGAGATGCGCAGAAAGGCAGCAAGCGGTTTGTCAAATTGGATGAGCTCATTGGCGTGTTCAGACTCATGTTATTCAATTTTAGGTCATTGTGGAATGAAGGTTTTTTCAGTTAATTTTCAGTTGTGAGGTTATAGCAGGCCTGATAATTACCCAATTTAAATTGGTTTCCTTATTATTATTTTTTCCCCAATTTTTTTATTTTTATTTCTCTCCCAACTTTTTCTTCTTTTTTTTCTCCCTTTTTTTTTTTTTTTTTTCTCCCTATTTTTTTTCTTTCTGATTTTACCCCTATTTTCCCGATTTACCCCTAGTTTTCCCAATTTTGTCCAAATATTCTTACTCAAATTGGGGAGAATGTTGTTAGATGCTATTTTTTTTCCCCAAAAAAAATTCTTTTTTTTTTTTTACTCAAGGGGGCGTGGTTGAGGGAAAAAAACTATTTTTTTGGTTGCGCTCACTATCACCCCTGGGTTATAGATTCCAGTCTCAGCAGAGGTTGGTCAGTCCTAATGCCAGGTCCAGCCTGGAAAAAACGCATGTATAGTGTCTCACAGAAAAGCAGCAAGCGGTTTGTGAAATTGGACAGATTCATAAGTTCTAAAGTTTAGATTGTTGTGGAATGGAGGTTTTCTCAGTTAATGTTCAGTCTTGAGAGTGGACTCAATGGAGGTTCCAGTCTTATGCATGTGGCTGCTTGGTCCTCATGCTACATGTATGTCTAGTCCAGAAGTACTTGTACACTCAAACCTGTCTATAGCGATCGTCTAAGGGAAACACAAAAAGTGGTCTTTGTAGACAGGTTCCTTTAGTACATGTTCCAATGAGAAACCCTTTTCAAGAGAAACAAAACATGTAGTCTCTCTAGACAGGTGGCCACTTAAGCAGGTTTGACTGTATATAGAGATCCACAGAAAGAGAGCAAGTGATTTGTGAAGATGGAAGAACTGCTTAGCATATTCAGACTCATGGCGAGTTCCAAATAGCTCTTTGCTATTGTCAAATTTATAAAGTTTGTAATCATTGCATGTGTGATAATCCCTCGACTGTCTATCATGTATTTCCGTGAAGGAAATAGCTACTGTAAGAAAAAAAAAGAAGACTGACTAATTTGATATTGTTGACTCAAAACAAGAATGTGGTGTGTGAAACACTACAGTTCTTTTAATGCAACATGTAAGTGAAGGCAATGGTATTGAGGCATTAAATAAAATGAGTGAAAGGTGGGAAAAGAAATTTCAAAATTTCATTCAAGCTTTGAATAACATGCATATTTCAAACATTCTGTCTTGCTCAGACTGCCGAGGAGAGGAAAGCTGCAAGAAGAAGCAACAAGAAAGCCCCCAAGCAAACTGCTCCTAAGACCGCCGCCCCACCACCCACAACTGCAGTAGTAACAACAACAACAACAACAGCGATGGTTGCAGCAGAAGCTACCACTGAGCCCACCACAGTGAAAAGTCCCACGGCTGCAGCTCAGGCAGAGAGGAACGCCAAGTTTAAGAGGAAAAGTCAGAATCTGAGACGTCTCATCAAGGCCATGGTTTTTGTAAGTACAATGGCTCTTCAGAGGGAGATAGAGAGAGAGAGAGAGAGAGAGAGGACAGGATAGGAGAGGACATGAGAGAAGAGGAGAGGAGAGAGAGAGTGAGAGAGAGAGAGAGAGAGAGAGAGAGAGATAGATAGATAGATAGAAGAAGAAGAGAGAGAGGAATAGAGAGAGAGAGAGGAGAGAGAAATGCAAACTGAGCCCACCACATTGAAAAGTCCCACGGCTGCAGCTCAGGCAGAGAGAAACGCTAAGTTCAAGAGGAAAAGTAAAAACCTGAGACGTCTCATCAAGGCCATGGTCTTTGTAAGTACAATGGCTCTTCAGAGAGGGAGGGAGGGGGATAAAGAGAGAGGGAGGGAGAGAGAGAGAGGGAGGGAGAAGGGAAGAGAGCGAGGATTAAAGAGAGAGGAGAGGAGAAGACAAGACAAGAGAAGAGAAGGAGAGAGAGGAATAGAGAGAGAGAGAGAGAGAGAAAGAGAGAGGGACGGTAATAGAAGTCATAAACAAGAAGGGTAGAGAGACTAATTTTGAGTGATGAGGAAAGGAGAGGGAAAAGTGATGAGATAGAAGGAAACATAGATAGACATTATTTTAATGTAATTGAAGACAATGGGTGGTATTCCGGTAGCGCGTACTAAGTTAGCGCGTGCTTAGTTAGTTCACACTTTTATGGAGTGCCTGTTGTGAACTAATTTACCCTGAACAGATTATTTTAATCCTTCAATGAAAAGTGTCCAAAAAATTAACTTTGCTCCGAAATAGGAAGAAAAAGATAATATGAGTATAAACTAAATTTCAACAAAGTCCTTGGTAGATTATTTTTGTCATGAATATTGAAGGAGGAAGATGAAACCTAGCATTCCATAGAAGTGCGAACTAAAATTCTTGTTTAGTCTGGACTTAGTCCCGGCTTAACTTAAGAGAATACCACCCATAGAGTGGGAGAGAGAGAGAGAGAGAGAGAGGGAGAAAGTAGTAAGTGAGATAGATAGAGACATGTATAGAAGAAGAAAATATAGAGATGTAGATTTAGACTGAGTGAGAGAAAGAGAGATAGAGTAAAATGTATTTCCAGGTTACCCCATTAACCTTAAACAAAATACATAAGTCAGAAAATTTCTCGATATGTTACCTCCTGCATGTATAAATGAAGGTATTTTTGGAAATTATAAAGACGGCAAATTGCCCTAGTTTTTATTCAATGTCATTTGATTCTGAAATGGATGATAAGAAAAGTAATTAAAGAAATGGATGGAAATGTGTGTTTAGTACATGTACAACAATTACCATCCAACACAGTTTATACCACATACATCCATAGAATGTATATACACTGTATATTCAGTAATTTCCTAAAACTTGATTTTATTTCAATACCATCCACAGGAGAATGCTGCCCTCTGTGACGAAGTCTCCAGGACAGAGGCCAAGCTGCCGAGAGCCAGAGCGGAACGTCGGTTCCTGCTCCTGCGCCTCCTCCACTACCAGTCCTTGACCGGCAAGCCACTGCTGGACACTGACCAACAGCCAACCGTGAAGAAGGAGAAAGAGACGGAGAAGAAGGAGACGGAGAAGATGGGCAGGAAGGAAAAGACGGAGAAGGTGGCAAGGAAGGAGAAGGATAGGGAGAGGAAGAAAGTCAAGAACAGGCACAAGCACAAGAAGAACAAGAAAGCTTCTAAAGGTAATGTCATCTGAATGAAAAGTGCATTTAGAGTGTGATAGAAGGAGAGAGAGAAAGACAGAAAGAGAAATAGAAGGGGGAGTACAGAAAGGAAGAGAGTGAAAGAGAGTGAGATTAAAGGAGGAGAGAGGGAAAAGAGAGGGAGAGATAGTGGTAAATAGAAAAAGAGAGCAGAGATTAAAGGCGAAGGGGTGGGAAGATGAAGAGATACCGGTATATAGGGAGAGACAGAGAGAGACAGAGAGAGACACAATGAGAAGGATAGGGAGAGGAAGAAAGTCAAGAACAGGCATAAGCATAAGAAGAACAAGAAAGCGTCTAAAGGTAGACAGATGCATGTAATGTCATTTGAATGATAACTGGATTTAGAGAGTGATAGAAGGAGGGAGAGAGAGAGGGTATAAAGATAGCATGGAGAGAGAGAGAGAGAGAAAGAAAGAAAGAAATATAAGGAAATAGAAGGGGGAGTACAGAAAGGAAGAGAGGGAAAGAGAGTAACATTTACAGGAAAGAGAGAGAGGGAAAAGAGAGGGAGAGAGATAGTGGGATATAGAAAAAGAAAGTAGAGATAAAGGGGAAGGCGTGGGTAGATGAAAAGATACCGGTATATAGGTAAAGAGAGAGAGAGAATGCAGCTGTGTGCAGCTGTAAACAAGGATGATGTATCATTTATAATTCATTCACAATGAACTCTACATGTTATTCTACTAACCTCTATTCAAATCTGCTTGATTATGACAGATGCTGATAAAAAGCTGGAGGCTCAAAATCAACTCAAGAAGAAGAAACCTAGTAGCAGTCTAAAGAGACACATCCTTCCCATACCTCTGAATGATGCAGGTAGGTTTCACAAAACTTGTCATCAGTGACAAATGACAATTTGTGTTATAATCTACTGAAATCCTTGCTTCTGATTGGTTATCAGCAGATTTGTCACTGATTTTTGTTATTTGTCATTGAAAAAAGGCTTTGTGAAACGGGTCCCAGTCATAGAAGATAGATGTTTATTTTTCTGTAGAATCCCTGTTGCGTAGGGAAGATGGTGGACCTGTGAATAATAGAGCATGGGATGTGGAAGTGGATGGATGGCATAATATGGGAAGATTTCATGGGAAGATATGGTGAAGTAAAAAAGCAGAAAGGTTGGGCTAAATAGAATGGCATGCTAAATCGTGGACAGTGCAGTACCCCTGAATTTGGTACCAAGTCAAAAGTGCAATTTTGCGAAATGCATTGTTATTGTCAATAGAGAATTCTTTGTTTGGAGGATGGATTGCATAACAATGCATTTGGCAACATTTCACTTTTGACTTGGCCCCATATTCATATGTACTGCACTGTCCATCATTACATCATTATTACGAATGGGGCATTATTGTAAAAGGAAATAAATAAGCTTTTGAATGATATTAACTTCATATATGAAAATATAGTAACAGGGGAGATATCAATGCTCAAACTTGAATTGCAGAACTTTTGTGTGGAGTCTTTTACATAGTCTTTTACATAGTCTTTTACATAGTCTTTTACATAGTCTTTTACATAGTCTTTTACATAGTCTTTTACATAGTCTTTTACATAGTCTTTTACATAGTCTTTTACATAGTCTTTTACATAGTCTTTTACATAGTCTTTTACATAGTCTTTTACATAGTCTTTTACATAGTCTTTTACATAAAACCACAATACCCACATCTAATTAATTTCCTGGTACTAAATCGCAACATACATTAAAGATAAACTCCAGTACTGGTAAAAAAAAAAAAATTAATTCTCACAGAATCAAACGAAACTTACACTGAATGTTCAAGATTACAAATAAATGACATGTGCCAAACAATTTTGGAAGAAAATGTATACTGGCTGAGTAATGAGCATAGAAAGACAAGGAAACCAAGGTAGTACCATCCCCGACACGATGTGTGTTGTCCCATATATAGCTTTCTATGTGAGTGTTTGTTACTTTACCAAGACTCGGTCAAATTTATTATGATTTTGATGACTCCAGAACCTTGCAGTGCACACCAATACTTACATGCTACATGATCAACTGTTTCTGATCCTTTCACACCTTTTCTTTCACAATGCAATCGCATTACCAGTACTAAAGTTTAGCTTTAATTCCAATATCATCTACATTCTAAATGTCCATTGCAGGTCAACCAATCTACCCTATCGTCCAGGGCAGCTTGACCGTCCACTCCCTTGGAAAGGTCCTCCCAGACAAAGTGACCTTCCACTCTGACCGATTCATCTACCCGGCCGGTTTCCATAGCACCCGTGTCTATGGCAACATGAACGACCCCAAGGAGAAGTGTGTTTACACCTGCAAGATCCTCAACTGTGAAGGGGAAGCAATAGTAAGTATACAAGTCAAGTGTGTGTGTGTAATTGGGTTTTTACAAACGTGTATCAATCAGATATGATTATTTACGTCTAGGGACCGATCTTTAAACGTCACCATCCGAAAGACGTGACTCAGTTTCGAGCCTGCATCCTCGGCTGTATCAGTTTGTAACTTCCATTGTTAGCTGGATTACAGGCGAATGCCACAACGCCCCGTTAAACATCATCATCGGTTATTTTAACCAGCATTTTCCCTCTTATGTGAGCTTACTGACTTTCGCACCATGATGACACTCCCTCCCTCTACTTCTTCTTGTCTCGAGCATCCTCTTCATGTAGACCAACTTCACTGCTTTCTTTCTTCACCATATCTTCCTTTGCCTCTTATGCTATCCACTTCCAGATCCCGTGCTCTTTTCACAGGTTCATCATCTTCACTTCTGAACACATGACCCACCCATCTCATTCCACTTCTCAATACCACTTCCATCACAAATTCTTTCAGACCCAACCTTTCCATAAGCTGTCTCGTAGTCTTTGTATCTATTTATACATGGAAATTCAGTATCAAAGATGTTGAAAATAATTGCGAGTTCTAGTACTGGACTAATATTTTGAGAGAGACTAGCTAATATGTTGCTCTTATTGGGTTTCATGCTGTAGATGGGTTCATTTAGATCAATAAAAATCTAATTGGACTTACCTACTAGAAATCACTTTCACCGAAAAGTACATGTGATATATAGACTTGAAAGTATGGAGTACAATTAACTCTGCTCAAGTTGAATCTGTTGGGACCGCTAAAAATAACTTGACTAATGAAAAATTCAACTAATGAATTGTAAATGACACATATTTTGTATTGTTTGTTTTGGCGGAAAAAAACGATTTGACCTGGGGGAAATTCTACTTGTACAACTTCAAGTCATGGATATAGTTAACTGTACTCATTTCTACATTATTAATCAGCAATCAAAGATTTTTGACCAGATTGCATGGTAAACATCTTTTAAATTGCAAGATAAAAATATTTTTGAGGACTACACACACTCAAGAAAGAAAGATTACTGACAGTCCTTTTGAGGACTCCCCAATCCTCTCTCACACATGGTGCTACCGTAAACCTACTGTATAAATTTCTTTTGTATTCTAACAAGAGGGAAAATGATTTGTTTGTTTAATCTTGTCTTTTAATAGTTTGAGATAAGTGATGACCGAGTACCTCCCACCATCCTGAGTGCTAGCTCTGCTACAAAGTGCCATAGGAAGCTACTTCAGGCTGTCAACAAGGCATTGTAAGTGGTAATAGTGGCGACTGATGCGAAGAGAAAGAGAGAGAGTGAAAAGAGAGAGAGAGAGAGAGAGAGATGTGTAGAGTGAGAGATAGGGGTAGGGAAGTGAAGAGGAGGGGCTGGCAAGAGAGGAGGAGGTTTGGGGAGGGGGGGGGGGCGAGTGAGGAGGGGGAAGGGAGGAGGGAAGGGAGGGGTAGGGAAGAGAGAATGAGTAGGGACGATAGCAGGGAAGAGGGGGTGGGGTAGCATTGTCATATGGAAAACTTTTAGCCCTAAACGCGCATAAAAGAATACGCACTAAACAACCGCTTGCAACGACCCATTCGGGTGCGCATGTATAGACATGATGCGGTCTCCGAGATTTTGAGCGCAACGCACACACTATGTATAATACGCACTGCGTTAAATACACACACTGACCTCTAGCTCTACAGCGATTGCACGGAAGCTATAACTGTGCATTGTTTGTACGGTACGGGCGCACTCGTTGTGAGTAGCTATAGCGCTACACTATCCCAGTCACCTTGGTTTAGTATGAAAAACTACTTTTTATTGGTTGGAAAATGGCTACCGTTTCCTCTCCACGAAAGAAAACAATCGTTATACCAACGTAAAGGTAGGATGTCAAGGTTTCTGAATCCGTCCGAAGATTTTTTATACGTCACTCGTGTAAAATTTGCCGACTGGTTGACTGAGCGAAACCCGACAAAAAAGGGGAAAAACAGTGCAATCTCCATAGGCAGGCTGAAAAAGTCAAAACTTTTAGGTGAAAATGGCTACCGTTTCCCCTGAAAGAATAATCCCAAATTTAGTATCATTTTTAAGACGACATTTCAAATTATAAGAAACCGTCCGAAGATTTTTTTAACAAATTTCCATTTTCCTGTAATACCAGCAATTATATCAAAACGTGGCTTTTTTGGTGTACGTTCCCCGTGCTTAACAGGATAAGCGACGAGGCGCAGAGCAGATGCGCGTAAGTTTTCCATATGCATGTAAGTGGCAATAGTGTTGAGTGAAGCAAAGACGGAGAGAGATGTGGAGTGTGAGATGGGGGTAGGGAAGTGAAGAGGAGGGGCTGGCAAGAGAGGAGGAGGTTTGGGGAGGGGGGCGAGTGAGGAGGGGGAAGGGAGGAGTAGGAGGGGAAAGATAATGAGCGGGGAGAGCAGGGAAAGGGGGGGGGGTAGTAGATCATTGATTAATTGCAGGACTGATCCTATAACAGGAGATTTTCAACTTCTCCAAACCCACATGTACTTTTCAAAAGCCTCTAATGTTTGATGGATTGATGGAGTGACATGTACACGGTATAGCCACAATCAGGGTGCAACTATTCTACGTACAGTGTTACGCATCTCTCCTGGAAACACAAAGTCATCTAATCAAATATTTTGTGGCCTGAAATGTTGGACCATATGACTTCTTCATCAGGCAGCAATTTTTTTAAAAATTTCTCTTGTGTTGGCTGTGTGAGAGTGGTAATAGAGAGCCAAAAATACCACTTTTTGGCTGTTACGCATTTGCACTTCAAAAATGTGTCTTTTTTCATAAGGTGTTACTGTGGAATTACACAAGATATGCCATATCTTTTCATGCCATCTTATAGTCCTTTTTATCTCCACTCCGTATTTTTTTACGGCTTGAGAATTGACCCAAGAATTGCGATACAGTGGTTACTTCTGTGAAGAGAGACAAGCGTAACGCTTTTTTGAAAAACAGCTTTGTGTATAATTTTGCCTCTATAATTCATATATTTTAGCATTATATCAATTGGTAATTGGTTATATTTTCTGAGTAACATGTTGTCCTATCATCAGAAAGTAAAAATCAAACAAAGATACAAGCGTTACAAAAATATATGCCCACATTCCGATCATAACTTTTGTCAGGAATTTCCTGTAGTGTCCGTAACGGTGTAATTCCTGCTATGTGAAAATATTTCCATTTTTTTTATATACCTTACTTTGTGTAACTACCTCCGGGGACTAACTGTGGTACAATAATATTCAGCTAAGCATAACAGTTTTTTTTTTGCAATTTAATGAATGGCATTTGTAGTGTCCGTAACGTATGTAGTGTCCGTAACACAACTTACACAAGTGTGTGATGGTCTAAAAATACAGCTTGATGACAAAATACTACTAAATTGTAATTCAAATTTGATTTGATACAGTTGCTCGTCCCAATGATTAACAGAAATTCTTTTTTTTTTTAAGGTTTTCTCCTGGATATGATATTTCGCAAACAAATAAGCTATTTTCCATGAATTTAATTTAAAAGATTTTTAAAAAAATTGACTTACAAGTAATTTAATATCAATATTTTATTTCAATAATATTAGTTAGATGTAATAAAGTATCAAATTAAATACATCATTGTGTTTTAGTTTCAATATCGAGGGTAGAAAAGAGTAGGAGCCAGTGTTACGGACACTACAGATCTGTGTTACGGACACTACAGAAGGAGTAATATCAGGCCTGCAAGCCAAACTGTACCTCTTTTTCTGGATAACAGTGTTCTAAAATAAATGTTAACATTGTAAAAGCTGTCTATGACATCAAATATGTATGATGCATTAAAAAAATACAACATTTTAATCATTTAATTGCCTACCTACCAAATGTATACCGGTAAGTCACTACATTGTATTTTATGTCCACACACACATAAACACCACGGCCGGTATTCAATTCAATACGCGTAAGTGAAAAATTTACCAAGTAAATGGCCAAGTTAAGTAATTTACTTATCTCGTATTCAAATAAAATCTAAGTAAAAAACTTACTGATAAGCATTGTGACGTCACACGGTCAATCAAAATTATTTGCGCAATTGATGCGTTGCAGTAAATGCGCGCTGACCTAATTGTGCGCACATCATCATTTGCATGGGCGCAATCTTAATTCACGCATAAATACCACTGACCTCAGGTCATTGACTTTGTTTCAGGGCCAATGACCCGAGGTCAACTGTCTGCGCATGCACCCTGATACAACCGTAAACTGGTGTATTCTGGTAGGGAGTTGACTTAAATATAGGGTAAAATACTTACCGGTAGCCAAAAGTTTGAATTGAGTACCAAAATTAGCTAAGTATGTTATCTAAGCCAAATACTAAGTAAAAAGCTTAAATTTTGTACTTAAGTATTGAATTCAATATGAGCCTAGGGCACACACCAGTACGTGTATGACTAGTGTCTCCTGAGGACTATGGAAAAATACCTTCTTTGGAGGACACCCCCTTTGAGGGGATTTACATATAAGTTATGAAATATCTCATTGTCTACGTTTTTGCTCACTATTTGATGGAGAGAGAGAGAAAAAAATAGACTGAGGTCGCTTTTGACTTTTTTACCGACATTTATTTATATATCTGAGGATTTTATGAAAACTGGTTTAATTGCCACCACCAACAACGATCACCGAACATCTGAGGATTATTGAATAAACGTATCAGAAATGATTATTGATTACACCATAATTTTGCATATATAGTAATTATCACTTTTTTTGTAATGCTTTGTTCCTGTTTAAGGTTTTAAAAGTACACCACTTAGTTGGTCGAAATACTCTTCATAAACTACAGACTGTGGTATTTTTATGACCCCAAATTTTTCAACGCTATTTTGACAAGTTCCTAAAAATGGGTTCTAAATATACTGAATATATCCTGCAGCACATACATGTACGATACGAGGACAATGCATGCAGTGCAATCTTCTCCAAACGCACATTGAATCCTGCACCACATACAAAACTGTAATATACAAGGACACCATGGGAACTTTCTTTTCCAAACATATTGTTTTTTCGGTCTCACTGAGCAAATCTTGTACGGTCCTATGAGATACATTTATCTTTTCAGAGTTACTTCTCAAAATAATGAAGTACATCGTGTTTTCGTATTTTAAAAAATCTAGGGTTTTCATGCTTATGTCTAATAGGCTCACCTTGATTATGTTACATGATGTACTATTTTATCCTCTTTTTTCTTCTCTTCTTCCTCATTTATTGTATTGTTCTTCCTTTTCCTTATTTCTAATTCTTATCCTTTTCTTTATTCTTCTGCTTCTTTTGCTAAGTTATTATCCTTTTTATTCTCTTCTTCCTTCTTTTAATCTTTCCTCATGCTTTCCTTTGTTATGTCATTTTTTTAATGTCTTCTTTCATCTTCCTTAATTGTCTGAATAGTTATGCTTCTTTCAATGTTTAAAATTGAGCAGAGAAGATGGAGAAGAAGAAAAAACACTCCAATTCGCCCACCCCTGGGAAAACATAAAACACTGACTTATGTTTTCTGCTTGTCAGAATTTTCTGATTCTAAAGGGTGGACTTCCCTTTAACCCTAACAAGGCCGGGCTATTTGAGGTCTTTATATGGCCGGGGGGGGGGGGGGGGGGGGGGGGGGGGGGGGGGGGGGGGCATTTTTCCCCCTCCCCCTCCCCCCAAAAAAATTTGCACGCATGTCAAGTGAAGTGTATAGAATACTTTGGTTAAATATTTTTGTTGCATATTTATGGTAATTTATGCAAATAAGGTCATAAAATTCACCTGTTTACCCACAAATCATATATTCTTTATATTTAAGTATTCTTTTTCACTACATGTATTCGTTAGACCATTTGAAACAATAATACAATAACAATTTTGGAAGAGCTAGGTTATTCCTTATGTTATCTTTTGTTTTGATAATTTCTTATGTATTTCATTGTTTTTTCAACTTTTGTATTTTAATTCGTTCTTTTAATTTTTTTATTTCTACTGACAATTCAACTATTGAACCATTGACTCCCAAAACAAACACCAAAACTTTAAACAAGACCCAATAACCAATGTTGTTTCTCTTTTTAGGAAAAAATGACATTTCCATATGGTTTGTACACAAATCACGAAAATCGATTTCGGGCTGACATGCAAAGACAAAAGGTCATGTGACTTTGTAACTGTACCCCCAATTTAAAAAAAAAAATTGTTTTAAAAGATCCGCAAGACTTGAAAGAAAAAAGTCAGCGAGCGGCGGGGCACCATCCGTATGCGTTCCCGAACAATCAGAAAAATTGTGGAGGGGGGGGGGGGCATAATGGTCCCCGGCCTTATTAGGGTTAAGTCCTATCCAAGAGACTTGGTAATGAGGATTTGAAAAGATACTCTCTGTTGGCCTCAAAATATGCAGCAACAACACATGATGACAGAAAAAAAGCAAATGGATTAATTATATATTGCATCAAAGAATAGCATGTATACAACGTAGTGTCCGTAACATCCTATAGGATTTTGTACATAAGTTATTTTGGACAACTTATGATATAAAACGAGCCTTCCTAGCAATTTGATTTGTTTTTATTTGTATACAGATGGGACTAAAGTTTGTAATTTGTCTCATATACCAATGTTTGGTTGGCTTGCTAAAAAGTTTCAGGTTTTGAAAAAATGTCATTTATCAGATTTGACCTTGTGTTACTGTGTATACTACTTCTAATGTATGGACTGAAATGAGTGTGAATTGTTTTATTTTTCACAAATGGCCGAGAAATTACCCCAAAAAGTGCAAAATATTTGAGTGTTAAGATAAATAATGCTTGAAAATTCCATTTCAGTAGTTTTGTGTAGTGTCCGCAACACCTACCACCCCTGTTGTGTTGCTGTTCATAAAATGATAACCAAGATAGTTTCCTCAAGGATATTGCAGGGTATTAACCCTAGGGTATGGATGAACAATTTGGGGTTGATGAAACTGCTCTATTGCATACTTTATTTTTGGACCCAAGTGCAAATGATTTTGCACCCTGATTGTGGCTATACCGACAGCATATCAGTTTGCATTGTCACAGATTTTTCAAGTTTTTAAAATTTTACCAACGAGTGAGGCACGATGGCTCAGTGGTAGAGTAGTGGTCTCGTAACCAGGAAGTCCAAGGTTCAAAATCAATTTGATGCGCTAATGCCCTTTGGTAAGGCATTAATCCTTGATTACCAAGTCCCTCAGAGAGGACTTAAAGCCGCCAGTCCCCTGGTTGCTTACTTACAAGCATGTACATAACTTCTTAGCAATCGGGTAAAACAAACAAACCAACCAAACAATACAGTTGATCCTTGTTAAAACGAGGTCCATAGAAAATTACCATGTTTTGTTAGGAATCTTGTTATATGAGGGTAAAAAAACAAAAGAATATAATGAGCTGGGACTAGCAAATCACCTTCTTATAACAGATACCTTGTTATACAGTCAAACCTGTCTATTGCGACCGCCCAAGGGAAACACAAAAAGTGGTCTTTGAAGACGGGTGGTCTATGTGGACAGGTTCCTTTAGTACATGTTTCAATGAGAAACCATTTTCAAGGGAAACAAAAAACGTGGTTGTTGTAGACAGGTGGTCACTCAAGCAGGTTTGACTGTATCAGAGCTGTTTATGAGGTTCCACTGTATAAAATGGCAAAAATTCATTCAATTCTGCTTTTTCCTTAGCGGTGAGGACATCGTCAACGAGTCGCGGGACCGATCCCAAGAGTTCTTTGGCTTCTCCCACCCCACCATCCAAAACCTCATCCAGAGCCTACCCGGAGCCACACAATGCATGGCGTACAGATGGCTCCGCTTCGAGGAGTGCAAGCCGGAGGAGAGGGAGAAGATCGCTCACTGGTATGAGAGCGATCCCACCGTCTGCTTCGATGCTCTCAGGAGCGCGTACAAGAAGAAGATGGGTGAGCGACTGCATCATTGTATCGAAGCAAAGTTATCATAAGAAGTCCTTGATTTTGCATTATGCATTTTGTGCTTAATTGAGACATGCGTCTTGAATGTGGATGGAGAAAAAATAATTATCCGACATAGAGATTGTGCAGAGTGTATCTGACTGCGATCAAACTATCAATGCCTTTCCTTATTAAAGGGAAAACCAACCTTGATAGCTAACTACACTTGAGGAAATAATAGCAGAAAATCAGAGAAGTAGACTGGTGAAAGTTTGCATTAAATCGGACTAAAGATGAGAAAGTTATGAATTTTAAAAGTTGTTATCACTATAGGTATGGGCTCTTCAAATTGGCTGAATTTGTGACGTCGTTGTGATGCAGTGGCAGAGATCCCTGCCATTTGTTCCAATGCACACAGACTCCAAGAAGTTCAATCCAGACCCCCCTTCCCAAAAAAGTTTGCATGGAACAATGTTTAGGGGATTATTTATTTGTACAGAGTTGTCTTATGCAAGGTTGATGGTATTATGAACTACAATGAAATAAAATCAGTGAAAAAGTCTGGTCATATTATACTAAATTGCCTAGTTATATTTTCATATAATAATTTTATTGTAACGTGGTTTACTTGCATTTTAAGATGAGCCAGACTCTTACAGTACAATCCGGACCCCCTTCCTTCCAAAAATATTAGTGAGGAACCCTTCCTACCTGTAGGCGATTATTAATCTGTGCAAAGCTGTCTTATTTAAGGTTGACAGCATTTATGAACTTCAATAAAATATAATCAATGACAATATCTGGGGGGGGGGGGGTGTTTTACAAAGATCCTAAGTTGAACTTATCTCTAAGTTGGACTAAACAATTATTGGAGGCCATTAGCAGAGCTGCCAACTAGTACGGATTTCCCGTAATTGGAACGGAAATTAACGATCATTACGGCAGTACGGAATGTTGTCTAAAAATTATGGATTACAACCCCAAATTACTGATTTATTCCCAAAATTACTGATTTTGAGCCTTGTGATTACTGATTTTCTCTTCTAGCAGTTGGCAGCTCTGCATTAGCTTCTTTGAAAATGTATTGAAAAAGTTATTTTAAAAGGCATAAAATGTTGATTCAAATCATTATTATTTTCTACTATCAAGGAGATTTCATGTTCTTGATGTAGAATTTATGAAAAGTCTAAAATATTTTAAATTTTTGCTTTTGAATATATTTAATGTCAAAGCTAAAAATGGCTCTCCACAATGTTTAAGTCGACTTGTCATATTATTATAAATTTCCCAATTATTTGCCCAGTTATCTTTTCATATTCATATTCTATTTAAATATGGTTTGCTTATATTTCTAGATGAGAAGCAAGCCACAGTTCAAGTATCAACATCTACCTCAACACCACCAACATCATCGACATCAACAACCATCTCAACATCGATATCATCGACCACCTTGTCTGTTCCAGCAAGCACAACATCGTCAGAGAGCCATAATCTAAGATCGTTGCTGACCTCGGCTCCCATTGTTACGATACAGCAGTCGATATCAGCAAGGCTGGATGGTTTCTCGGGAGGGGATGGAAATTAATATTAACCCTTTAAAGGGAAAGCCAACCTACCAGTTCTGGTCATGCGATTGCATTGTGAAAGAAACGTTATGGAATTGATCAGAAAAGGTTGATCATCTAGCATATAAGTATTGGTGTGTACTGCAAGCTTCTTGAATCATCTAAATGATTAGAAATTTGGCCCAGTCTTGGTAAAGTTACAAGCACCGTACACAGAAAGATGTATATGGGACTAGGCAATATCTATTCAGTCCGGATAGATATAATAATTTACCAAATATATCAATTAGTAGGCGGTTTCCCGGCAAAATTTGTATCATCACATTTTTAGTCAAAGCACATTCTTTCACATGATTGGTAATAAGAGCTTCCATTTCAGTATTTTGAGAGGTGCTTTTCCAAAACTGGTCTATACCTTTAATAGACAACTATAATAAAAGAAAGCAGACTGATGAAAGTTTGAATTAAATCGGACAAAAAAATTTAAAGCTATGATTTTTTTGTGTGTAGAAAGTTGTCATCACTGCACATATGGGTACTCTAAATTGGCTGAATCGGTAATGTCACAGTGACGAAGTGCCGGACTATTTTCCCATTTGTTTCAACATGCAAAATTATTAAAATGTCAATTTTTCAAAATTTATGATTCATGAGGTCCTTATCATTTTAGAGGACCTATAATAATACCTGGTATGTGTTATTCTATTATACTGTGATCATAAATTGCTAATTTTGAATATAATGCTGTTTAATTTTTGTATTGTTTTATATACACAATGTACCTTCATCATATAGTAGACAAGTCAATTCTTGTAAACTTTCATAAAACATATGGAGTATTTTGTATTTATCTGTACTATATTTTTTTTTACATGTACTTGTATGTATTTATATATACGAACAGGTTTCTAGATTTACAGTAAATGTACATTGATTTATAATTTTCATTTTGAATAGCTTTTATTTGTATTAATATTCAGAGAAAATGATTGAAAAGAGGGGGAGAGAGGAGAGAGAATCGATAGAGAGAGAATCAACAGAGAAATGGAGAGACAGAATGAAAGCATCAACAGAGAGAGAGAGAGAGAGAGAGAGAGAGAAGATGAGATAAAGAGAGCCAAAAAGCAAATTCCACTTCCAGTTGTATACATGTTTGAAATCTTAATTGGAGTAATCTTTAAGTCAATTGATTTTCTTTTAAAGAAATGTTGAAAGGGGAAAAAGAAGATTCAGCCTGACCACAAAAGTGGAAAACATAAACATACAAGCTCTGTCACTATACCTGAAAACAAAATGTAAATGTAAATGCAAATGGAAGTGAGAACATGGAATAAGGTACAAAGCTATACAGCAGAGAGAGGGAGGGGGAGAGAGGGAGAGGGAGAGGGAGGGGGAGAGGGAGAGGGAGACGAAGGGGGAGAGGGGGAGAGAGAGTGAGAGAATTATAACTAGATTAGATACATTGGCAAAATAAAAAAAGGAAAGATACCAAGAGCTAATAGGATTACAGAACGGTGAGAACAAGAAAAAAAACCTGCAAATTTGTATTTGTCCATTTCCTTTTTTTTGGTGACAATATTAAAAACAACGTCTATCTGTATTTATCAAATGGCCCTTTTAATGCAATGTGTATTCAACCTGGAGTGGAATATTATGTACCTGGGGGAGGGGGGGGGGGTTAATTCTTGGTGGGGGGGGGGGGTAAATTTCCGGGGGTTAATTGTCCTTGGGGGTAATTGTCCTACCTGGAAGGTCAATCTCGGGGGGGGGGGGGGGGTAATTGTCCTTAGAGGGTAGTTTCCGGGGGTAAATTTCCGGGGGTGATTGCCCAGGGGGTAATTGTCCTGATACGGATTGTGACAATATGGTTTAATATCGTTAGATAAGGGCCATATTTTCTCATAACTTTATTGATCAATCTAACGAGTCAAAGAGATTGTTCAATAAGGTTCTGTGAAGATATAAACTTTATCAATCGAGTATAAACCATTATTCCCACAATCACTTTATGGAATGAGGAAAGGAAAATTATTCCAACTTTATGGGCAACAGCGTTTATTATTATGAACAAGGTTAATATGAACTTTTGTGTGTGTAATATACCTTTAGGTTGGACCAAATCGTCACGGGAAAAGAACTTCTCAAACTGGCAGGTAGCCTCCATGCAGAATCCTACACAGAGGTCGCCGTTAACTTAGGGGTTGGGAAAACCGAACATGACAACATCAGGAGGCAAAATACATCATCAAAAAAAAATGCTAAATTCAAAGTTTGAACGAAACGGAAACGCAAGGAGGAGGGTAGAAAAGTGAGAGATCTTGTTTAATTAATGAGCTTTAAATTAAGCTGTGTGACCTTTGATGAGACATTACACTAACGTATTCCTATCTCATCTCAAAAGTGATAATTTGGTTATTTTGGAATGCACTGTGCATTGATAATGTTTCCCTCGTAAAGCCTGTACACTTTAATGTATATTAAGTTATGCCTGACCAACTTTGGGGCAATTTCATGCCTATTTCACATAATGTTTTATCCTATCACGATCACCCTTTTCTTCAGATTTAAGGTGAAGACGCCAAAGTTGGGCCTAAAAACTGCTCCGCAATTAATTGGACGTACTGTATAATTACCCTCATGGATAACTTTTAAGCAAAGTCCCTTTAAAAAAATAATTTAGAGGCAATGCGGTTTCATACATATAACGAATACAATTGCTGTTATTGAATATCCATGTGAAATATGCAATCATTGTTAAAACTTGTTCATCCGTCATGCACTAATGCTATCAGTACACATTGCTCTATTGTAGAGTCATTCAGTGAACAATTCCATTTCTAGAGCATATCACGCGATGAGCTGAGAGACGTGCCGACCTTCGCATGTCAATGAAAAGACACCCTTTCTCGTTTGGTGTATAAGGACCCTGTTGTCAATGAAAATATATTTTACGAACTTCACTGTTTCTGCATACTGTGAAGATTTTCTGATTTGATTTGACATGGTTCATCGATAAAAACATACATTAAAAATAAAAAAGGAGCCATAGGCTAAAACAGATTTAATTTACAAAAGATTGATAAATACATATGCATAACATTAAAAATGGAAATAACATTTTGAATCTTAAAGCGCTATGTCACAATAAAGATCAAATTTGCATACACGTTATAATAATTCTATTGATCCAGACTTTAACAGCGTTTAATGAAATGCGCTTTCAGTGGCCTATCAAACGTTAACTGTACAGTGTTAACAATATAAATGCATTCAACATTATTATCATAAATGCAGAAATGAAAATAGCGACAGACATGATAGAGATAAAAGTGAGAAGGAGAGAAGGAGAGAAGGGGAGAAGAGAGGAAGAGGGGAAGCATATCGACGAGGAAGGAAGGAATATATTAAGAAATTTGGGTTGAAAGAGAGAAAAAGGAAGATTTAGATTGAATTTCACAGCACTTCAAATTACAACCTATATTTCATTGTTTCCTATTATTCTCTCGATAATATTTCAGCAACGAATAGAGTTTTGGTAGACATCTCGGGTGTAGAATAACAATAAATCCTGGGCACTTGGAGTGAAAAAGATTATAAGGATAAATTGATTTTAAAAAATAAGGTTCGGCATTATATCATTTGTAAAACAGTCAAGACGAAAATCACTACCCTATTTACACATCATCAAAGATCACCTGACATTATTAAAGCTAAATAATTGACTACGCAAGACATATTTTTTTAGAAATTATAATGAGTAGTATAGTAGTAATACATGTAGTAGTATTGTTTTTATCATTATTGTAATTATTATAAGTCTGATCAATAATATTATATAAAATGATCCTATATCTCCCCCTCCTTCCCAACATTTGCATTATACCCCCCCCCTTCCTTCCCCGGCCCCCAAAAGGGGGCTCTATACAAAAACAATGTTATAATCAGCGGACAATAAATTGTATATAATGTCATTAAAAAGAAGAACGAATCAAATATAACAGACACCAGAAAACAGACAAGTGTACCAGGCGCATCAAAGACCAAGATTATATTATACCGAATAAAAGTACAGAGACTGGTTCAATATGCATAGACAAGGTTGGACAAAGCGCCATTAATATAATTCAAGTACATGATTTAGAGGGAGATTTTAATTCCCATTTTGAATCAAGTGGTATAGTAATTGTATACTGGTATTCAGGATTCCACATTAATGCAGGCTTGAACCAGAGTTATTAAATTAAAGAGGTCGTGAACACGTGGTTAAGAAACTCTACAGCTAGTGTCAAGTATTTCTAGTTTCCTTTTATAAGACAATACATTTATATATTCCAAACTTATCTTAAAAGCGATAATTCAGTTATCTTGAAATGCACTGTGCATTGATAATGTTATCCTTCGGGAAGCCTGTACACTTTAATGTAAAATGGATAATGCTTGACCAAGCGTGGGGCAATTTCCTGTCCAAATTAGATAGGCTTAAAGTGTTATCCAATGACGATCACCCTTTAATGCAAATCTAAGCATGAGTCGCCAAAGTTGGGCCTACAAACTGCCCCGCAATTGGTTGGATGTATAATTACTTCCGAGCAAAGATTTTGGCAAACAATTCTATTTTTACTTTAGAGGCAATGCGTTAGCATACAAAGATCGAATACAATTGCAGTTATTGAATATCCATGTGAAATATGAAATCATTGTTAAAACTTGTTCATCCGTCATGCACTAATACTATCAGTACACATTGCTCTATTGTAAAGTCATTCAGTGAACAGTTCCATTTCTAGAGCATATCACGCGATGAGCTGAGAGACGCGCCGACCTTCGCATGTCAATGAAAAGACACCATTTCTCGTTTGGTGTATAGGACCCTGTCGTCAGTGAAAATATATTTTACGAACTTCACTGTTTCTGCATACTGTGAAGATATTCTGATTTGATTTGACATGGTTTATCGATAAAAACGTACATTAAAAAAGCAGCCAGAGGCTAAAAAAAAATTAATTTACAAAAAAGATTGATAAATACATTTGCATAACATTAAAAATCGATTTGGTAAAATACAATTATGTTTGCATTGGATTACAAATATGA